CATAAACAAGACATTCTACTTCTTGGCTTTCTTGTTCTTTTCTCGCAGAAGTATAAGGCGACTTCTTGTACTGTGAATTTTTCCTGAGCCTCTTAGTTCCACCTCTACCTCTAAACGGCCTTTGAGGAGGATGCTTCTGCTGGTGCTGCGGGTCTTGAGGCGGATGCAGGTGGTGGTGCAGTTGATGGCCGAACATCCCAATACATGAAATCAGCTTCCTCCGATGTGTCAACCAGCTTTACCTTGTAACGGTTGTTCGCCACAATTGCCCTCACTATCCCTTGATGCCAGACATCACGCTGCAACACCTCCACACGATCCAACAAAGAGTACGACAAGTTTAGGGTAGGACGTGATGCACCTCGTCGTTGACCGGTGCCAACTGGTGAGGACGCGGCTGGTGGTTGACCGGTGGCAACTGGTGAGGACGCGGCTGGTGGTTGACCGGTGGAAACTGGTGAGGACGCGGCTGGTGGTTGACCGGTGCCAACTGGTGAAGAGGCGGGTGGTGCAGGGGATTGGTGAAGGACTAACTGCTCAAGCGTCGCCAATCTTTTTTCCAAAAGGTCAATGGTAGCCCTCAGCTCCAACAATGATGTCGACTCAGGTGCTGGTGCTTGAGGAATATCGACTCTGCTCCCTACACCCCGATGTTGAATCTCTAACTCATACAAAGATCTCCAGAAGATCTTCTTCTTCTTCACCGTGAGATGATGCATCCAATCCTCAACACCTACATCAGCGAGTCCTATCTCATCATCATATCCAGGATCTAATACCCGAGTCAATAGTTTTTCTTCACCCGAGTCTGCAGGCTTCAAGATGCTATGGATGTCCTGGCAACAAAAAAAAAAAAAAACAAATTAGTGACAAACCAAAATAAAAGAAACATAGTTGTACCACAGAACCATCTATATGGTGCCGCATCATTCTACTTGGATTATTCCTGAGGAGGTTGCTAATTTAGTTGTTTACCCACCAGACTATACCAAAAAAGCAGGAAGAAAGAAGGAGAAGCGGTTTCCTTCCACCGGAGAAGCTCGCAGGAGTCAGAAGGCCAACCCAAACATAAACATTGGCCGTTGGTTTCAACCACTAAACCCAAGGGAAAGCGAGGGTGAAGAGGGTCAGAGCGGTCGGGGCGGTGAGAGCTAGGTCTAAGGAACTTGTGCTTGCACATCCTCGGACAGTCTTTCTCTGCAGGTACGGCTTCTCGAAATTTGCGGCCAAGGCTAGGAATACACTCAAAAGCAAGTATCTGAACAAAAAATCAAAAAATTAAACCCTAAATAATGTAAATAATTTAGCTTCTATAAACTATTGAATGAGAATTACCTGTAGAGGAAGAATGAAACCAGACAAGGGACATTCTGCTTTTTTGCCTTTCATGGTGCCATCAAACTTTGCCATCACACGCTGAATCTCCTTCATCATGTCATCGAATGTGTAACGCCCCCAAGGGAATGATTTACACACATTCAAATCACTGACAACTCTGAGCAAGAACGGATCAATGTTATCATCAGTCTTGTATTTCGCCTTCACTACCTTGCATAAAAACCAGAGGAGGGCCATTTTCTTCCTGTCCACAGAGGGATCCTTCATTTTATCTAATTTTTCTTCCACCTCCCCAATCTTGATTTTATCGGCCCTACCAAAGTGCTTCTTAACAAATTTTGTGTTCCCCAAATTGTTGTAGTCAGCCGGATAATCACGACAGTCAAGTCCACTCAAAAGCGCATGCTCTCCCAGAGAATACCTTATCGGAACTCTGTTAACTTCAAACCAGCACTCATTAAGCCTATCAGTATGAGGAGTGTGAAGGAGAAGCATCCACAACCCTTGAACATGTGAAAAATGTGCTTAAATTGAGGATGCGCTCTGAACCATGCTTTCTCTTCATCAAGATTTTCAATCTTGTCCACAACAGCTTTAACTGAGCACCTTGTCAATATCCTACAACCCTGGCTGTACTCGGTTGGACCGAAGTAAAGCTTCTCAGGCACCATAGGTTGACTACAATCATCGGCATCCTGAGATAAAAACAAGAAACACAATCATGAGATTTAGTTGTCCCAGTTATCCCAGTTGTCCAAATGCCAAACGTAATTTTGTGCAAATAGTTGTCCTAGTTGTCCCAGTTGTCCGAATGCCAAACGTAATTTCGTGCAAATAATTGTCCTAGTTGTCCTAGTTGTCCAAATGCCAAACGTTATTTCATTAGTCACAATTATCCCAGTAGTCCCAGTTGTCCAATTTCCAAACGTAATTTCTAATCACACACAGTTATCCTAGTTGTCCAAATACCCAACATAATTTCATTCAAATAGTTATCCTAGTTGTCCTAGTTGTCCAACGACCAAACATAATTTCGTTTAGAGTATACTTACCTCTAAATCCTCTTCTTCCGCTGCATTTTCTTGCTCTTCATTTCCTTCCTCTTCATTTCCTTCCTCTCCTTCTCCCTCGTCGTCTTTCTCGGGTGTCCCCCCTCCCTCTTCGTCTGCTTCTTTCTCGGATTCCTCTTCTCCACTATGTTTCTTGGATTGGTCATCCTCAACTTCCTCTTCTCCTGTTTCTTTCTCGGATTCCTCTTCCTCGGTTTCTTTCTCTGATTCCTCTTCCTCGGCTTCTTTCTCTGATTTCTCTTCCTCGCCTTCTCTTCCTGAAGCCTCATCCTCAGATACATCTCCCTCGCCTTCTTTCTGGGATTCTACCACACCCTCTTCCTCGGCTACTGTATCCGCTAAACCCTCTTTTTCAGGTTCTTCACGCGATTCCAACCGCTCCTCTGGATGATCCGTCGCACCTTCGTCCATAGGTGTTGGTGCGGTTTATGGGGCTTCTTTGGTGGTTTCCGTACCGGCTGGTTCTGCTTCCGTCAATGATTCTTCTTCACCCCGAGTTTCTTCATGGGTTGTTTCTTCATCATTCGCCGGAGGGTTTGGTGTTATTCCGGGTTCTTTATCTTCCATATCTGCTTCTTCGCTGCGCTTGGGTACAGATTCGTTCAAATCATATACCATGCCCTTAAGTCGAATTTTAGCCATCGAGTTAGGCTGGATTTAGGGTTTGTCTTGATGAAGTTAGAAGGCTAAATTATATAATATATAGCACGGGAATTGAAGAAAGGGAAGTTGAAGAAGGAGCAGTTACAAAATCGAGCAAGTGTCGTTTCAAGGGGGAGGTTACAGAATTTTCGGAACAGAGAAGGAAGTGGAGATAGTTCGGGGAAGATGAAGAGAGAAAGAGAAGAAAATTTGATTTTCATTTTTAAGTTTATGTTTGGTTTTGAAAATTAAATTTATTTGGTTCGGTTTTGTTTACCCAATTTTCGATTTACCAATTTCAATTTTCTGATTTCTGATTTCAAATTGAGTAATTTTTTTTTTTTAAAAAAAATTTATTTTTCCCGTGTTTTCGAAGATAAAGGTATAATTACCCAAATTTTTATTAATTCAAAAAGAAATTTGTTTTTAGGTACGCGGCTTTTTAGCCAATTTTTTCTCCTCTTATGGTTTTTCAGCCTCGCACTCAATCAAAACTTGCTTTTCCCGATATTGGCTGCAATCTCCGACCACCGTTACTCTCTCTGACGTGCGTTTCCTCCGGCGATTAAAACCCCTCCTATTGGGATGAAGCAATTTCAAGAGATTCGCGACTCTCCCTCATTCTTCCTTTCCCATGGTGAAACACGGGTTATGCAATTTCCATGCATTCTCTGAGCACCGCCTCTGCAATTTCCAGTGAGCTTTCTTCTTTGCCGATCTTCTTTGGTGACCGCCGGTTCTGTCTTCCTTTTCCACTAAAACCGCCGAGCCCTTTATCCCTTTAATTTTACTGATAGTGAAACTAGATGCAAATTTTCTTTCTCCGACCCAAAAATTGCGTCTCCGGCGATTCCTCTGTCGCAATTATCCTCTGTAAACTCAGGTATCCTCAATCTCTTCTTCATCTCCTTGCTGTGACGAACTTTAGACTGTCACATTCTGAGATTGCCAATTCACGAAATTCTAAAAATTTCGATCCTTTATTTTGCAGGAGAAACACAGTTTCAGCGATGAACATCCCATGTTGTTCAACTGTCAAGATGACCTGACCTCAGGTAACCCTCTGACCTGAATCATCTCTCTTTGTCTCTATATTTTAAAGATATCTCCGAGACACTATGAAATCTTAATTTCTGATTTCATACTTCCTCGCAGCTGCTCCAGAAAACCTGATTCAGCTTTGTCGACCTCTTAATTCATCTCATGTGCACTGAGCTTTGAATCAACCTCTTCATAAATCACTTTGCAGGTACTCCACCTGAAGCTAATGTCTCTTCACCAAAGCTTCTGAGTTCTGAGTTTTCACCTGTAGCTTAGTCACTCACCATTTTTTTGAGACCCGTGAAATCATAATTTTGTTTTTATGATTTCTTCTTGCAGCTGCTTCCGAGAATCACTGTTCTCTTATCCTTCTGGTATCTTTATGTAACTCATCCTAACCAGAACCTCTTACTCTCGACTTATTTTCCAGATTCAAGACACACACGACTAATTTGTCTTCACTTGAATCTCCCAACAGCTCCACCTGGAATCAGTATTTCTTTACTGAAATTTGACTGACTTTCTAAACTTCTTTGTTGTTGAACGTGTGCTCACTCATTAAAGGCTTTGGGTTAAGTCGCTGCAAATAATTTTGCAAAGTGTTACATATATGATGATTGTTTGATTAATATCAAACTCTTCTTGATTGATTTTTTACTATTAATCTGTGAGTATATCGCTTAGGTTTCTTTTTGATCCGTATTATAATTGATAGAGAAATAGATTTTGGTTTTGGTTTAAGCCTTTGTCTCAATCTGTAATCTCCTCCCGAGAAGCCAATCCTTTTTTTTCCAACATTTACATACTAGACCAACCCGTTATGCGTTGAAAAAAAAACAAAAAAAAAAACCGTTATGTCAAACCGACATACTAAGTCATAAATTTTGTTTTCTTGTTTTGATTGCTTCCCAGAGCCTGTTCTACATACATCAGGTTATTCAAACTTTTCTTCATCAATCTGTCTGCAATTTTGGCCTCTTTTATATTGTTTCTTTCGACGTCCTTTTTTTTTGGTTGAAATTGTTTTGATTTTCTTCGGTTTGGTTTTATATATACTGAATGTAACACTGGTTTATTTTGTTTTTTGGCAGGATCTTCAGTTAGAGAAACTCAATCTGACTTCTCCTATCGGAATATCTAACCAGATAGTATTAAACCAGTTTAAGTGGCTTTATCGTCATCTACAATTCTTAACTTTGTAGTCGTTTTTTTTGGTCGAAAAAAAAAACTTTGTAGTCGTTGTTTTCTCCGTCCGAAAGCGACCTTCTTTCTACGTATATGCAAGTGACGAACTTCTCGCGTTTTATCTCTTTAAGGCCTCTGCGTCTATCTTTCTCCGTCGCTGCCACAGGTTCGAATTTCTTTATTGGAAACTACTCTCCTTTTGGTTTATTGCTCCTTTGGTTTGAAATTGAATGCAGAATGCTGGTGGCTTTGTTGCTATGGACAGTCAATCTATAAAAGAAAATCGATTGATATAGTCATGTTCTGATACATTTTGATGCTTTTTTTTTTCCAGAAATGTAATCATTAAAAAGTTTTGCTGTTTCGTTTTGTTTGATTTAGCCATGGATCGTGATGCTTCGTGTAGCTTGGTTTTATGTGGGAAGTCCTCTGTTGAAACTGATACAGCAAAGCGTTTGAAAAACAATGACGTGCTTAAACTCACAGATAATACTCAAGTTTCACTCTTTATAGACTCTGAGATGAAAAGTTTGGTTAAAGATGATGATTCATTCAATCTTTCACTGTTCATGAACTCGATTTCAACTGATCGGTTTGGTCGGTTTCTCATTTGGTCTCCGCGGTTGTCTTCTACTCATGATGTCGTTTCTCAGTAAGTGTTTTAGCATTCGTCTGTTTTGTTTTCTCTTTCAAGGTTACCTTTTGCGTGTTGACATCTGCTTTTTAGTTTCTTTCAGTAACTTCTCTGAGCTTCCGGTTGGTTCAGTATGTGTTACAGATATTCAGTTAAAGGGCCGAGGTAAGCATTTTTGAACAATGTTGAATTATATAGTATAGTAAGCAAGTAGAATCGGAAACTGAAACCTGAAATTGACGAACATTGAGACACCCTAATCTTGTAAATCTATTCTATTAAAACAGAAGCACTTTTTAGTGCTTGCTTCTAAATACCTCTTGAAACTTTTTTAAAAATTTATTTGAATTTACAATTATCTTAATTTATTATAATATTATTTAAAAACACATTTTCTATTTTATATAATTTTAATTCCAAAATTAGATATTAATTTAGATAACTAAATATTTCCTTAAATATAGGTGATATTTAATTTAAAATTCAAACTATTTATTTTTTTAACTAAATTTAAATCTCAAAATAGATATTAATTTAAATTATTTTAGACTTCTTTAAATATAAATTAGATTTAATTTAATATTTTAAATTTAAATAATATTTACAGAATAACACTATGATTAATGAATACGTTATTTTTTTTCAGTCATATTCAATCAGACTAAAATTTACATATTAAAAATTGATAAATATTAATATTATATAGTAATTTGATGAAACGGGTTAGATTTTTTTTTATAATTGTGGTGTTATACGGGTTACATTATCAAAACATGCAAGATATTAAGATAAAAATTATTTCAAAATTAGTAAATATTTATATTATATAGTAATATGAACAGACGGGTTAAAATTATAGTTTTATAACCATGGTTTCTTTTGGATTAACAGAATAAGCAAGTTAGAAATATGTTTGTATAATAACAATCATTTTTCGATTAATAGAATTACCGTATTAGATATATGTTTATATGATTTGTGGTCATAATAGTACTAAAAGAAAAAATTAAAACACAAATTATATCTAAACACATAAATTAATTTTTGTCACTTATTAGAAAAATTATATTTATAAAAAAACATAAATTATATCAAAAAATTTGATTATAATTTTTAAATTTAACTTAACATGATTAAACTTAACTTGATTTACACTAATTAAATATTTAATTATTATCTAAAATCTTTTATTAAAAATAAATAAATTAGAAACTCGAAACGTCTTAACAATAAATCAAATCTTAAATATTTAAATAAAAACTAAAGAAAATATAATTAAAATCCTTACTAAAAATAATTAAATAAAATACGATCGTGGTCCGGGAAGCAACATCACATCATTCACCACAAGTACTAGTCTTCGGTTTCACCTGAAAAAGAAGAGAGAGAGGTGAGTAATAAGGTACTCAGTGAAGACGATTCTACCTGTCCACTTGATGTATACGAAGAATTAAACATAACCACATATATGTCTACTTAACATAAGATTAGACAAACAATAATCATAAATATTTCACAAGTACACAGACACCTAACACACAAGTTCCCACTCGAACATTACACTGTTTAAATCTGGTGACTCGTCAGCCACAAATCTCACAGGCCCGTCACTCCTTGTACTGGCTATACTTCCTCTGTGTATGGTCCAACCATGGTCCCACTTCGCAAAACGTCTTTCGTGAAAACCAGCAAGCAATTCATCCATAGGCCGGGATCAATCATGCGCTCTAATGCGCCTAAACTAACACCAATTAACAATACATACAATAATTTTCAAAGAATCATTCATGTTCGTTTTAATTACCAATAAATCTCTAATTCTATATTCAGCACAGACATATACATCTATGTCTAAGACAACTTATAGATCCACAAGTCCCGCCTCATCTTTGCCTTGGGGTTGAAGATACTGTGCGTCGGAAAAACTGAGTAGAACATGCGTCCCAAGGTCTGCGATACACAAAAAAACAATAAACTAAGAATTCAGATTCGCATGACTAAGCTGTTTCTTGGCCGAGAAGGCAAGCCCATAACTTTCGCATCCCATCTTAGAATTGAATGCAAGAGCTTCAAATTGATAGGTAGAATGTGATATGGGTCCTTCTAGATGGATGGCGAAATCTCTCTAAATTTGGCTCTGCGAAACTGGAAAAATCAGATTTGTAGAAACAAATGATTTTTCGCCAACTTTGAGTTCGCATAAAAAGCGGAGCTTACCTCGGATTTATGATCTGCAAACTGCTACAGATTTTGCAGCGATATCTTTCCAGAGGTAGAGAAATATCGGCACCTAGCTAGACCTGAGGTGCTGGCAAATTGCTCAGCAAAACTCTCACTCAGACAAATTATAAACTGATGTTGCGTTATCGAGTTTCACTGCGTTAATTCTGTGTGGCTCTCAAGGAGGAAGTCGAATTCCTTGGGTCTAGGGTGGATAAGAAATGACAAAAATACCCTTACTCATATTTATGACTTTTTTTCTTTATCTTGAACTGAGTTAAAATTTAGAAAAAAGTTTTTAGAGATTGGGCAAAAAAAAGATGGGCTTTCAACCCTAAGTTTGGGATGTCACAAACATGCAGGCAGAACAAAGAATGTCTGGGAATCTCCAAAGGGTTGTCTTATGTATTCTTTTACTGTAGAAATGGAGGATGGTCGAATCGTGCCTTTGATACAGTATGTGGTATCTCTTGCTGTAACGGAGGCAGTGAAAGATGTTTGTCATAAGAAGGTATGTCTTGATTGAGTTCTGATCCTTGCATCATAAATTAGCTCAGAGTTTCACTCATTTGAAGTTCCTCATTTTCAGGGATTGCCGTACATTGACGTTAAAATAAAGTGGCCAAATGATCTCTACTTGAATGGCCTTAAGGTTGGAGGCATTTTGTGTACCTCTACATACAGATCCAGGAAGTTCCATGTCTGTGTTGGTAATACGCATTACTCGTTACAGGTTTATGACTATAAGTAAGTCGAAACATCTGATGCAAATAGATTACAAAAATTTATCCTTTGGCAGGGGTAGGATTGAATGTGGACAACAAGCAACCGACCACATGCTTAAATGCAGTACTAGAAGACATGTCTCCTGCATCAAACCTACTCAAAAGAGAAGAGATTCTTGGTGCCTTCTTTCATAAATTCGAAAAATTCTTTGATCTATTCATGGACCAAGGTAATGTTAAACCTTTGACCGTGGAGACTGTTTAAGCTCCAGTTTCAGTCAGCTGTTTCTTTATGAGCATATTTGTCACATATGAAGTATTTTTTCAGATAGTATTTGTTGATTAATTATTTTTATGAGATTAGAGTAAGAGAAATGACAATCTTATTATCAATTTTTAGCTTATTCAGTAATTCTATGTCATGGCACTGTATTATACAGGTTTTAATTCTCTGGAGGAGCTTTACTATAAGAAATGGCTACATAGGTAACGATTATATCTTTGATCGCTTTTTCTGTGTGCTTATCATTGAAGCGTTTCTGTTAGCTGAATTTGAAACTGAGTTAGACTTGTTTGCGTATTCCATTTGTCACTATCTGAATCAAATTTCTAAACTTTGCAAATTAGCAGGCCCGTATGCATTATAACACAATTATTTTAATTATATTTTTTAAATACACATTTTAGTATTTCCCTTCAATAAACTAAAGTCTCTTAAAGATAAGAACAAGACATTGTTACTTACCAATAATAAATGTGTGGATCTTGAGCTACACATATTTTTTTTTTTTACTTGTGGCTGTATCAAAAAAATTTCTTAATACATTCACTGATTCACATGGAAGTTTGGGGGATACAAACTTTACCTTCTATCTATGCATATGCAGCGAGCAAAGAGTAATCGTTGAAGAAAAAATTGAGGACCGAGTTGTTCAAAATATTGTGACTATCCAGGTAGGGGGAGTCTTATTTATTGTTTATATACAATTCGAGTCATTTTATTATGGTGCTTTGATCTCTTTGCAATGCATCTCTAGGGTTTGACATCTTCGGGATATTTGCTGGCTATTGGAGATGATAATCAAATGTATGAGCTTCACCCTGATGGCAATAGGTAATTTTTTTTTGAAAATCAACTATATGGATAACATTATTGTGTTACATGTTAAAGCTAATATGGAGTTTGCATTGTTCAACTACAGTTTTGACTTTTTCAAAGGTCTTGTCCGAAGGAAAATATGATCCAAAGAAGATTCCTTGGTGGAAGCAGATGTTTTAGCACCATGGACATAACTAATATTCGTTTCGTTTTTGGGGAATAAATTAACTGCTTTTCTAATTCCTATGGAAATGTTTTGCAAAACAAAAAACATCTGTTTAATAAATATTAAATTAGAACTTGTTGTATTTTGTTGAAATTTGAAAAAAAAATTATTAGTAAGAACTACTATGATTCTTCGTATATTAGTATCCCTATAATGATTTACCTGACAAAGAAGAACGAACTAGAGATCAGACACAAACACTTCTCCTCTAAACGCCTCTGGTAAAAATTACAATATTTTTTGATCAACAAATCGCACTTAATATCTCTTACCAAAAATTACAATTTTTTCTTTGATCAAGAAATTGCATTTAATATTAGTCCTAGAGGAGAAGCTCGTAGGATTTAAGTTAAACCGTTTAACCAACAGACTAGGGATGGAAAGAAAGGGGCAAGATATATCCTTATTGCCTTTTACGATTTGGAGGAGAATAACGGTTTAGGGAATTTCTGATCGATGACAGATCCCGTATTTGACATCGGCCATGTTCCGTTTCTCGAAAACATGAAAGTTTCAAAACGCATCCTAAGAGCAATGGGAAAAAAAAAAACTTGGTGATCTTCCCAAACACACTAAGGAAGCTCAGGAAGACTTGTGTCAGAAACAAAGTGAGACTCATTATATCCCTCTTCACAACGTATGGAAGAAGAAGCTGCAACTTTTGAGAAGTGATATGCTTTAGCAGATTTGGATGAGACATTTTTGAAGTAAACGTCTAAAATACACTGGCTGAACGTTGGAGGTGGTAACAATGCATTCTTTGATAAGTCTACCTCAGAATAGGTGAATGAAAAATGCAATTCATTAGATACAATGGCTGAATGAAGAAATATTTACGAATGGAGATGACATCAAGAGTGAAGCGGAGTGATTTTTTAAAGAATTTCTCAATCACATGCAAAGTGACTATAAGGGAATGTCGGTTGAGAGCCTCCAAGAGCTCCTTGATTATCGTTGTACGGAGATGGATCAGCACATGCTTACTATGGACATTTCAGAGGAAGAAGTTCGAAAGGTAAGGAAGCACTAATGATCATGTCGTCATTCTTTGCGTTGAATATCTGTGGCTTTAATAAAATTTGAAAACAAAACGTTGTTCGGTCTTGGGTTCAGACTGTTCGTCCTTCGTTTGGTTGTCTTCTAGTTTCGTGTTCAAAAAGTAAATTTTCCGACTATCATTGATAAAGTTTTTACTAGATGAAATGCCATCCCAAATTATGACTTCCATCACCTGGGTCGTATCTGGGTAATTTGGTCCGAAGCTGTCTCGGTTACACCGCTGTACAAGAGTCCTCAAGTAATCACCATTGAAGTCTCCTCTACAACGGGGCTGATAACACTGGTTTTTGACCATTTTTATGAATCATTTTAATATCTTTTTTAGACAATCATACTCCTTTTTCAAAGGTTTTCAAATGATTTATATGTTTTTGGATTTTAAAAGACTTTTCAAGAAACTTGAGAGAAAGATGTGCAAATTGGAACAAAATAGCACTTTTAGATAAATTCAGACCGTCAGAACTCTCAAAGAGAGACGAAAACTTTCTCACCATCTGATACTTAGTAGAAGACTCAACCAGCTTTTAAATGCAATTGGTTTGAAGACATTCCAATGGTTGGTTCTACAAATATTTCATTTTCCTCAGAGACAATTGAAGATGGCCTTGAAGCCTTGTGACCGCGGCCGACCAACCATTTACCATGGCCAGGACCATGCGACCGTGGCCAACCCCTGTTTTCCCACGGTCACACACCATGCGACCGCGGCCAGCTATCTCTGAGAATAAAAGCCCATTTTCGAAGCCCAAGTTATTTCCCGACCTTAATTTTGAAGCCCTACACGTACAGAAGTATTAAATACTATAAATACTTGCCAATTATATCATTTTTTGATATCACTTCCATACTTTTTACAGAAACAACTTTCTTAGCCGTTGTTAACGATTTATAGAGAAGATTTTTCAACCTTGAGTACATCAATAGAAAAACTTTCTTTCATCTTTTTTTCTTTACTGTTTTTAATTGCTTTCATTAAAACCAATGATGATGTCGACCTCAGTTATGTCTGAGTAGATCCCGAGTTGGGTATAAATGGGGTCTCATAATCGAATAAAACATCTAGGTTATTAGATATAGGATTTTATTTATGTTCTTTGTTTATTCTTGTTCTTAATGCATGTATGCTTGATTGATCACCTCGTGTCTGATCTAGATAGTGTTGCGAAAGTTTTCATTAATTATCGGACCTAGAATGAAATGAGCGATTCTGCCATAGGAGTGGAAACCTACCTATGGGTGAATCGTGAGTATTTACAAGTCCTGAACAAGTTCCTGCGTACACTCGCTTCCAGCCAGAGTGAAAACCTACTGGTCAGGGTCAGGAGTGACAGTTGGTGAAGATCACAACAGTGACGTAGTCATACTGCTGTACTCACTCTAGAACCCTAGATAATTATATATCCGATAATCCCAATCTACAACCCTAGTTTTTTGAAACCAAGTATGATCCTCACAGAGTTCCCAAATGTAACACCCCCGATTCGTTCTATGACTAGGACGAACCCAGTATGTCACAAGATGATAGTAGAGTGATGTGTGCTGTCGTGAGGGTTGTCAAGTTTTACCCTAAATGAAATCAATAGCCGCAAGTGCACAGCTGATCGATTGTAGTACTTAGGGATCGAATCCACAGGGAAGGAGAATCTTTCCTGCAAAAGCCTTCGAAATAAATATAAAGAAAGGAAGTCTAGAACCAAACGATTTTGTGGGGGTTTTGGTGGTGAGATTAAAATGTAAAAACGAATCCTAAAGAGACAATACGGGAATTAAAATGACCTAGTAACTAAACTTAACGAAAACAGGTAAAAACGGGAAAAACGACTAATCTAATTGCTTAAATGAAAATCGATTAAAAAGGAATGAGAATATTGAATTAAAGCTTGGCATAAAAACGGTGTGAATCTATAAGGAAGAAAGCGCTGGGGTTCAGGGAAGTTTTCTCAGGGGTACGAACGATTCAAAACATTGCTAGAGAGTAAATTTGATAAGATCTTAGCTTAAACTTTTCGAACTGGAGTCACGGACGTATGAATACGCCACTGTCGTGAGCATAGACAACTATCTCTCTCAGCCCTGACCAGTAGGTTTCCACTCTGGCCCTGGAAAAGAAGAGATGCATTATGTTTAAGACTCGTCAGCATTTACAAATCGCCCATAGGTAGGTTTCCACTCCTATGTTTGTTTTGCTCTCCAAAACTAGATCTGATACCGGATGAACACTTTCGTGTCACCAAGCATCTGGATCAGATTGTAGTTCATGACACTACTCTCATGCAGTAAAAACGAATTCAGAAGAAAAAGTTCTAAGATTCGGCTCAAAAGCTCATGGAATCCTCATCGAACATATAAATCCCCATCGAAAATCCCTTAATCCCAACAATAAAACTACTCAGACATGATGAACGAAATAAAAAACATAGTATTAAAAATTAGAATAGAAACCGAAATTGAAAAAGAAAGAACAAGGGTTCAAGAGACAAATCTCTCTCTCCCTAAAACCTAAAACTTAAAAAGTATTCTAAAACAATAAGAACATATGAAGGCATACAAATTAGGGTTCCTAAAACATGTATTTATAGTGCTCAAGACATCTCTGGGCGTCACTTAGGGTTTCTCCAAATGAGGGAATCATTTTGGACTTCAGAAATGGGCCTTCGGGCTCGGAGGTAGTTGGCTGCGGTCGGGATGAGTGCGACCGCGGGGAATGGGTGGCTAGCTGCGGTCGCGGTGCTTCTTACCGCGGAAAATGGTCTGTTGGCCGCGGGTGGAAATGCTTGCCGGCTGGTTTACGGGACATCTTGCTCTTCGCGTATCTTTTGATTGAACCGTTGGATTTCCAAGCAGTAAAGTGTGCTGGAAAGCTGATACTTCCATCTTTAAGATCTCCAAATTTGAGCTGGATCAGACGGCGAGAAGGCCTTCAATCAGGGGTGAACTTCCGACGGTTTGACTCTGAGCTGAAATCTGGTTTTCTATCCATTTTGTTAAGCTTTTCCCTAAGTTACCTGAAAAGAGTTTTCGAACTACAAATACTAGAAAAACGTAATAAAAGTATTTAAAAGCAATTAAAAACATAGAAAAAGTATTTCAAAACAATCCATAAAAGTGGTCAAAATACGGTGTTATCAACTCCCCCAGACTTAAACCTTTGTTTGTCCTCAAACAAAGCAGAAGCCTAAACTGGTTAAGTGAAAACAAAAATAGTAAATGCACAAATCTCAGAGACATGAACTCCTAAACTAGGACCAAAGATAGTGCATCAATCCACAACTTAGTCTAGAAAATTCTCACCAATGCACAAGAGATACTAGTCCACTTTTTCCGTCATGCAAAACTTAAACAATCTAAATCTTGATTCCAGTCAACTAGCTCTCTACATTCATTAAGTTCAATAGTGAGTTCTCATTAAAGACATCACCCAGGGTAGACGGCGTTTGGCATTAAAGGACTGTTTAAGTGGTGGAGTTAAAGTGTTTCGGGTTACCTGAAGATCCGGAGGACGCAAGATAATATGCAAAACCGCAAGAGAGATAAGGACCTGCTGATGACCGCAATTTTCAGTCACTTCTTCTTGCCAAATGTTGTTGCATAATCCTTCCTCCTTTGTTGTAAACAGCTATTCCCCCAGACTTAGATTCTTTTCAGGAATCGGAAAATGATCTCCAAAACTCCATAAAATCAGACTCCAGTTGCCTTGAGACTTAAAATTCGACCTCTCTAGACTCTCTAAGGCTTTTATTTCCTTTCTTTTCTTATTTTCGGATTTTTTTTTTTTTTTTTTTTTTTTTTTGTTTGAGAAGGAAATGCCTTTTAAAGAGAGAGAGACTAGAGGACGAGATTGTACCAAAATTTGAGATTTTCTAAGGCAAACTGAGCTTCCTCTTGTGTTGAATCCTTCCAGGAACTTTTCTGGCAAATCGCAGGTCTCTGTCCTTGGTGACTGAAAACTGCGTCGTTCCTCTTTCTCTCCAACGTTTTTGCACTTATCTGCATATAAGACAATAGAAAACAAGAGTGCATGTGGTTTGAAAGAGGATTGGTTAAGGTGGGGAACTAGCTAAAGA